ACACACACACACACACACACACACACACACACACACACACACACACACACACCTATCAAACCAGTGCTAAGCAATCCTTCGGGAGCGGGGCTTATTTATTTATAGCGTCTGTGCCAAGCTCAGTTGCTTCTTCCATTATTAATGATAATGAAACCTACCAAGACATGTAACACACAAAGTTTTAAAACAGCCGGGCTCGGTTGTGTCATGGTGTGACACATTAACAGGGCGAGAGATGTAAGTGCTGCTCTGGCAGTTGTACCAACAGGAACTCTGCGCCAAGATAAACCCTGCGACTGATGTACTGATAATTCAGAGAGAAACTTCACAGTTAATCAGAGCATCCTCCAACGGGCTGCTCCTTCATTTTAAAGACATGCTACTGAGTATTTCCAAACAGATACTACAGGCATATGATATGAAGAGCATTAGCTGTGGTGGCATACAGCGAGTTTTCAATCGGGCCAACATTAAAGTTAAAATCATAAATATTTGAATTTGACAGCTGAATTCATCAGGTTTGAATTCCCTTCTTTGGAATTTCAGTGCCCAGGATTTCCTCTCGCTAAACTTGCATTAGAACGGCCCGTGGGGTTAAATCATTTTAAACCCTTGTATTGATAAAAGTTATCTGCCCTGGTCTTGGTACAGAGGAAATTTAGAAAATTGATTTCCCATTTCCTATAGGGACATAAAAGTTATCTTGCACAGTTTCTGATTAAAACATTTGTCTGATGCCTAATCCAGAGGAGAGATCTCTCTGAGCCAGTGTGAGAGCAGCAAACACACACAGGTTTGTGCAGATGACGGAGCTTTTGTCCTCATGAGGTCTAAACCTCATGAGGTAATTAATTTAGATGTTTTTTCGGATCACAAAAGCATCTGCACTTGGGGGGACGGAGGGAATCTTATCGTATATTTTTATCACTTTATGTTTTATTCTTGTTTTTACTCTTTTCTCATCTGTAACATTCGTATTTCTGTGTCTAGCTCTATTGCTGTGTATATCTTCAAATTGCTTTTAATTGTTTCTAATCTTTAGATTTCTTATTATTTCCGATTTTCTTTTTCTTGTATGTGTTTTTAGAGAAGAGAAATTTGCTAGAGTTTATTATAACTATTATCATTATTGACGTTCAACAACAAACAAGTGCACATAAACACGCAAGAGCAAGAAATATCCATGAATTGCCTGAATTGACTTTAATATTAGAGCAACTTCTTTTTTAATTGACTTCTTTTTTCTTGCATAAGAACATTTTTAAGACCTAGCAAATTCTGACCCAAGTATCCACTTTATTTATTGCGGAGTTGTACTGGGAGTAGAATTCATTAACAAATGTAAGACAATATGGTTTTTAGTGTATTTCTTCAATATGAGGGCCTGTTTTTTTTACAGTATGCTGTTAATGAATGCAGCTTTGTTGTGGAGCCGCTTTGCTGATCTGTAACACGTCATCAGTAGAAGAAGAGCTCTCACTGCTGTTGCTTCACCTGCTCTTGTGGTGGTGGGAGCCTCTGACCAGAGAAAGCTCAGGTTCATCCCCACCGACAGGTTCAGTCAAAACAAAGCGTATCGTATGAATAATAATTCTGCAAACTGAAAAGTTAATGAGGAGGCAAGTTTTTAATTAAAATGATAATTCCCTAACAAGCCTGCTTTATTTTCACCTTTAATTAAATGTATTAAATAATTCTTGACGTTCATCATTGTTAATTTAATTTTAACTGATTTCTGATACTTCTTTTATTTAATGTACATATTTGACATTAACTTTAAGTATTTTTGGACTGGGTTTATTTGTGAACTCTTTTTTTTTAACTTCCCATTGAGCTTGGTGACCGTGGCTCATGAGGCAGAGTGGGCCATCCACTAATCAGAACGTAACTGGTTTGATCCCCGACTTCTCCTGCCCACATTTTGAAGTGTCCTTGGACACGATATAAAATAACACAATGATGATTGATAGAATCATATATAGAAGCGCTGTATGAATGTGTGTGTGTGGATACATGTGACCTGTAATTAAAACCCTCTGAGTGAGCAGCGATAAAATATGTACCATTGTACATAATTCCTATAGAAACCCATTTACACACTACCAGTGTTGTGCCGAGTTGATGATTGACAACGCCATCAGCAGCCAAGGGCGGCAGGATTTCATTCCTCAGCTTTGACCAACACACTTTTTATTATCGGCTTTAAAAATTGGTCTGGATTCATTTGTTGATCTGTAAAGTAATTTATACTTAAACGCATTATAATCATTTATTCCCTTTTTGCAGTCCAAAGACATTAATAAACCTGTACATCAAAGTTTCATGTGCAGACTTTCTAACTTGAGGTTTGTGCAGCTCGACATTATCACGAGCTGCACCTGCCGTTAGAAGATCTGCTCTCATCTGATGTCCTGAAGCTTTTCACAGATTTGCAGGATCAGTGCCATCGTGTCTGTCAGCGGCTCCCTTCAAAAGTGTCACAGCTTTTGCATCCAACACATGAATGAAGCTGCCAACAGGTCACATGATTCAAAGTGTGCAGGTAGAGATGTGCAGGTAAAGACTGAACCTCAGTTCAAACAGTAGCACAGAAATAGTCTTGGCAACCCATTTAGGGACTGCGGCCAAATTCACTACCAAGAGCGGCGTGCAGAGTGCTGCTGCCTATTGGGAGGTTTCTGACTACATCCAAACAAGGATTTAGTGAGATGAGATTGTTGCAGTATTTTGTTAGATTCCAACATTTGCAGCAGCAAAAGATACGGCTGAGAGAAACATATCATTATCTTAAGAAGCAAATCATGCTCTCAAAGCTCGGGTTGGTAACTTCCTCGTTCTTCTTCTTCTTGAAATCCTCTTCGGTCCTGATAGCCATAAATAAATAAAATTTTCCGCGGGCCTCACAGGGCTGTAATAAACATGACGGATCATTTAATCTGGACCAGTTGTCAGTCAGTGCATGTTTATGTGTTTTGGAGCCGGAGCTTTGACGAGAGGACCGATGGGAGGGGGTGGGAGGCACCGGCTGCATGAAGCCTTTTCTTGGCAACTTTTCCATGATTAGCAACCCTTGTTTTAATGAAGAAATCATTGATGATCGACGAAAATGTCACAGAAATCATTGCAACCATTAACTGACAGGTGTCAGCCACATCATGATGCCCCAACAGAGTCAGACTTCCTCTGTGGAAAAAAGGTACTTTTGTCAGAGTTTAATCATCAACACTGGGAGCTGCACCGTACGATTGGATGCAGGGAAGCTGATCGTGCAAGTCTAATGTTTAATATTCAAAAATGGTATTTTAGAAAATCCCTGTATTGTCCAAAAGCAATTTCACCCGAGCAAAGTTTTGTAACTAGAATCGCACTCTGACTTTTAAATCTTCAAATAACACTCACTGGCAGGATTCAGATGTTTTTAGTGAGATTAATATTTGGCAGCCATAAGACTAAAAACACTATAATAGAGATTTGTATTCAACTGATCTTATAGAGTTCACATTTAATTTTGATATAATCTATTTTATGAGCCTTGATTTCTCTTTTTGGGCACTTTACTGTTGGTGGTCTGCTGCGCCTAATAGCTCCCTTTTGAACATGCACACACGCACTCACTCACACACACACACACACACACACAC